GAGAAAACAAAACTCTTTCATTATCTTTTAACATCACATACAAACCATCTTCAAAAGAGAAAACCAAATTTTATGTTCGCATTAGTGCATCTTTAATGTTAAAGCTAGTTTTTACCTAAAATTTTGCATATCTATCGAGTTTTAATTAGTTTGACTATAAGGTAAGATTTTCATAAACTTTTTAGAATGCTTTACAATTTTCCAACCAACAGCAGATCCATTTTCTAAGAAAACTCTGTTATTTAGACACATGGGCCCAGATTCTGGCCCCACATGTGTATGATTTTAATGTTTTAACCTATGAAAAACTAATTTCTTTTAGACCTTGGCAGACTTGTTTATACTCACAGAATTTTTTACAAGATCAACCCTTTACAAATCCTTTTCACTTTGCTTAACCCTTCAGTTTTGTCCCATTACTCTTTTAGGTTAAGACAGTCTTTAGCCGGGCGTGGTGGTTCATGCCTGTAATCCCAGCACTTTGGGAGGCCGAGGCGGGTGGATCATGAGGTCAGGAGTTCAAGACTAGCCTGGCCAAGATGGTGAAACCCCATCTCGACTAAAACTACAAAAATTAGCTGCGCATGGTGGTGGGCACCTGTAATGCCAGCTACTCTAAAGGCGGAGGCAGAATCACTGGAACCCAGGAGGCAGAGGTTACAATGAGCCAAGATCATGCCACTGCACTCCAGCCTGGGCAACAGAGTGAAACTCCATATCAAAAAAAAAAAAAAGACAATTTTTAAAACCTTCTGAACTACACAAAATTACATTCCCATTAACTAAAGCCATATTCCTATGCCTCCTTGTAATCTTTTACTAAAATCATTCCCTACACACCTAGTACGTAAAACCGTTTCTCCAGTGGTCTCAATGACATGTTACAACATTAAAACTCTTAGCAACTTTTATTTTTAGTGAAAAACCTGATAAGTAAGAAATTTTAATTATGCACTAGGGGTGGAGCCTAGGACATTAGACAGAAATGAAGATAAAGTCTGACTCTTTTTAGCATAGCTCCCAGGCATAGCTCTCCATATGCCCCAGGCCTTATCTATAATTTAACGCTCCAAAGTAAGTAAATCAATTTTCAAAAGTCAAATAAACAATTTAACCTAAAAGCATTTAGCAAAGCTGATATCTGACCTTAATTTAGACCAAATGTTTACATTTTCAAGATAATTTATTTTACCAATAATCTTTAAAACTGTCTATTTCCAAAAGATTACTAAAGCCACATGAAGAAAAAGGTATTAAAGTTTCTATTTTTCTAACAAAATATTTGATTTATGCATTTATTTTTCTAAGCCAATTAATCAGAGCTCTTTTATATATAAACATCACTCTCTCTCTCTCTCTCTCTCTCTCTCTCACATGCATGCACACACACACACACACACACAAAAACACACATGTAAATACAGACATACAGAAGATTCAGCACTTCTAAGATTTTTTTCATTTGCCATTTTCTTGATTGGATGACTGGCTTCGGGGTGGAGCCCTTAGAGGAAGAGGGCCAAGAAAGCATGCATTTCTAGGGCTAAATAAGTAGCAAATAAGCAGCTGAAGGCAAAGACGGATCTCCAAAATTGAAGGTGCTATTTTATACTGGTTTCTAGATCCCCAAAAGCAGGGAAATACTATGGGAGAAGGCAGTGTAGTGCTTTTAACTGACTGTACATTTCATTGCAAGGCAACCCAAGCCAATCAGCCCAACCTCATGGGAGTCTCATCTCCCACTGGGGAATGGGGATGTTTTCTTATCTTCCAGGTGGCCAGGAGCATGCTTCTCCGATCCAAGTGTGCAAAGAGTCAAGTACCCCTCCATACCTAGTGTTAGCCATCCCTTAAAGTATATTTCCTGCCTAGTTATTACACACCAAAGCTCTCTCATAATGTAAAGTAATTGCTGATACCTTCAAAACTCAAAACCGTCAGATAACACAATGCAAAACAGCAGAGACTTTGATTTTGAGAAGGATCTATCCACTTTTAATTCCTGGGATTTCAGGAGGAAAACAGTGGGGTGTTTTTTTCCCCCAAAACATGGTCTCTGGCGCCTCCTCTGTTTTTCCCAGTGAGTCCCAGGCTATCAGAAGTTACCTTACTTACGGCCTCTCATGTGTATTAAGGATGACAAGACAAAGAAAAAGGAAAAAAATAATTCAGTCAATTGAGAAGAAAAAACCTTTTTTCAGAAAAACAAGTCCCAAGAAGAGGAAAACATAAAGGCCTTTTAAATATACTTATAGCTTGTTTATCCACTTTTAATTAAGCTGACATTTAACCATAGTACTCTTTAAAAAAATAAATCCTTGCTTCAGCCATGCCAAGCAGCCAATATTTCTGGTTTCTGAATTTTACCAAAGGTAACCTCCTAGGTGCTTCAGGGACATGATAAGCACCTGTAAATCTTTTTTACAAAATTTACAGTCTCCACAAAGGTAGTTCAGAGAAAGGAAAATTCAAGAGGGGAAATCAGAAGCTATCCATTGTGGCGGGGGAGGGACCTCAATAAATGGCAAACCAGAAAGGAATCATTCCAGAAGCCAGCAATTGAACCCAGGTTACCACCATCAAAAGATGAAGCCTTAGCTACTGAGCTATACAGCATTGAGCAGTTTCGACTGCTTTTTCCAGGAGGAGCCTAGAGACGCCAATTTTGAGCTTACAAGGCTTTTAACTGCTCAAGAAAAAATTTTAGGACTAACTGACATGAACTCCCAAATTCCTGTCCTCTGGAGGGTAGAAACCAAAAGCAAGTGTCCCACATGGTCACAAGGTAAAGGTCTTAAGGACACAAAACAAGACGCAGAAATTTCATACAGTATTGACTACCATATACCAAGTAGGAAAAATAAGTTACAAGGTAGTATGACCTCACTTTCAAAAAACAAAAGAGCTCCTGAAATGCCAAACTCTATATATGTCCATAGCTGTATCTTCCTCTAATATATATTTTTATGAGTCAGAGGCATAGAAAAAATATAAGGAAAGCAGATACACAGCAAATTACTGATAGTTCATCTCTGGTAGTGACATTGGGTAGAAAGGGGTTAGATTGTTACTTTTCACTTAATATCGTCCTGTGTTTCAATTTGTCATAAAACTTTTCTATAGCATTTAAGTTTTTAAATTTATTTTTATTTTTCTTTCTTTGCAGGTGCTTTGAGACTAATGTATTAGAGAAAATTTTATTATTATTTTTAAACTTTGTTCGCAAGTGCTAACTGCCAGTAAGCATTTTTTGCTTCTGTAATTCACAAACTGGTAAATATTTTTAAATAAAAGTATAAAATAGTTTCGGCTGGGTGCAGTTGAGCATGCCTGTAGTCCTAGCCACTCAGGAGGCTGAAGTGATGAAGCTGCCTTTGCAAAATTATGACTGAGACTGACAGAGCTCAGACTTAACTGACTCCATCTTGCTCCTAATCTCCAAGCTGTCCTTGTTCATTCCTGGGTGTAGGCTGAACTAACTTTGGGAGAAACTTAGTTTATGGTTTAAACAAAAACGTTAACAGCCCCCAAAGCAGACTTCCCTCCTGCCTGAGAACTAGATTGCCTTTGTAGGAATAACCTTAGCCACAAGATAGCTTAGGAGTCATGCAGCTGGAGGTTCTGACCCTCCCTCAACTGCTCCGAGATGAGTGCTTGATATAGTTTCCAGACCCTGCACTTGATGGAGATCAGGGTTCATCTGGTGCCCTGCCCATAACTGGGTTCCGTTTCAGGTTTATTAAGTGCCAGGAATTTAAATGCCACTTTTTTCTGATACAGCTTTCATTTGTTATTTATTTATTTATTTTTATTTTATTTATTATTTATCAAAACCCTGAAACAAAGTGTTTTTAAAATCATCTAATTTTACAAAGTAGTCCCCGAAAGTTTCTTCCCTGCTTCTTCTTCCCTAGACCTGATGCCTTGGGAATTTTCCTTTGTATCTCCAGAGCACACACTTGTATTGCTGCTTCTTGACTTTTACTTAGGGGCATTATCTGTTAACTTCCCACTATGGAAGATGAGAATTTAGTTCTGTTTTCTCCTCCTCCTGCACCACACACATGCACCCTCTACCCCTACCCTGTTCTTTCCAATATAGTTATATGGTTAATTCCATATTCAGTGTTTACATGATGATACCTATATTTGTTTTATTCAGCTTCAGAGCTGAGTCATACAGTAAATATGATTGCTTTTCCTGCTCAATTTTGTTTTTCCTGGTATTAGTCATTATTGGTTTTTTTGTTAGCATTTTTCCTCCATTTACTTATGAGTCCCTTAACCCCAAATTATTTGTCAGTTTTCTTTTTTTTTTTTAAAGATGGGGTTTCACCATATTGATCAGGCTGGTCTCGAACTTCTGACCTTAGATGATCCGCCCGCCTCAGCCTCCCGAATGAGCCGCCGCACCCGGCTATTTACCAGTTTTCTAAATCTATTCCCTACACCTTCAACACATAGATGTTTTATCATTTTCATCTTTATAATGAAATCGCTTCCTGTCCTATTACCCTTTGACTAGCTGCCTTTATTCCCAGTGCTTAGCTCTCATCCTGGGATCTCCCTTCACCATAGCCCTGGAGATTCCATTAGCTTCTCTGCTGTGTTAGACTTCTGCTTCTTATGCCCGGTATCGTCCTCTTTTTTGGTTTACACCGCATTTGGTGGAGCACATGCTCTGGTAACTTACTGTGACAGAGGAGGTCCGGGAGAAAACAGTTTTGAAATTCTACTTCCTAAAGCTGTTTTACTCTTATTCTTGATAGTTTGGTTGGACATCTCCTTGCATTTTCAGCAATGTAAAGTATAGAAAAATATTTTCTGTCATAAAAAGAGACAACAGTTGTATGAAAAAGCAAGGTAACATTTTCCTAAATGTATCCATCCAGACTCTGAATCTGAAATATCAGTGCCTTCAGCTTCTCTTCAAGATGTGGCAAGTCTTAACTCTAAATAGGTGGATTTGATGTTTTTATTTCTTTTTGGTTTTCAAACAGGGATCTATTTGTGATGACTATTTGGCAACCATTTGCTGTCCTCATTGTTCTCTTTGCCAAATCAAGAGAGATATCAACAGAAGGAGAGCCATGCATGCTTTCTAGCTTTCTAAACACTGATGGTGAGTCAACGCAGTCATTCCTCTTGGAATATGTGGGTTTTTAGAAATATAACTAAAGACTTTGTAAATTATTCATTGTTTTGAATAATCAGCAGTAACAGTTTCTTAAGTTCCTGAAGTGCTATCATAATGTAAAGATTGGCTTTGATTTCTTCTTATGAAGAAGATAGCTCTATACTTTGAAACCATATTTTAGTAAATAAAGGAATGGTGAATTTTCTAAACTTTTCAGAATTCTGGTGATCTATTAAGGAAGAACTTTTACTTGTAAAATACTAGAGTATGGTGAGATACAAAGACATGTTTCCTGCTAAGACAAACAAGTTAACAAAAGGAACTGGTAAATATAAAATAGAAGAGCAATGAATATAACATATTATATGATATTTGGATTGATTGTGGCATAAAGCATCTATCATAGCAAGGTGAGGTTAAATAGAAAATTTCTACTGGAAAAGGTGAACTATGAAATAGGTGAACATAGAATTTAGAATATTTGGAAATGTTACATAGAATTCACCATCTAAAATTCAGTAAAGTCATTTTCAACTAATTTTTCCCAGGACTGTCTATTGAGGATGTAGTTAAGTAGAAATCAACATAATTTAGTCAGTCCCTTGTAGAATATATCTTGAGTATGGGAAGAAAACAGTTTTTCTATCCTTTGCAATACCAATTTCCTTCCTGAAGTGATGAGGACTCTGTATAGGTTAATAAAAATAATACTTGGAAGATATGTTAAAAAAAGTTCATTTACTTAGTAATGTGTCAAGGATCTAGGATCAAGTATCGAGTATACATTATCTTAGAAAGTAATATATCACTGTATCAATATCTAGGACTATGTAAGATACTGATACGGTGTTGTGTTGAGGGGTGGGCAAGATAATAAGCTAGTCCCTCCGTCATTACAGACTTTATGCTCAAAAAAATGGGGATTAAACAAACCCCTAACTAAAATGCAGAATTGAATTAATGCCTATAGACAAAGTGGTATTTCATGTTCAGAGGAGAAAAAGATCACATCTTGTAAGATGTGTGAGTGACAGTTTCTTGAAAGAAGTAATTTTTAATTCTAAAGAAGAAGTGTGTATTAGTTCACAACCAGTAACAGGTGGCACTCAAACTGTGCTAGTTCAAGGATTTAATGAAGACTGATTACAAAGGTGTGGGTGGGGCATTGTAGGTAATTGACAAGGGATGGTGTCAACTGACAATGGCCCCAGGGAGGAGAAGAGAGATCAGTTACCTGAATCCTTAAGGAAAGAGCTGTGTGAAGAAGCCTGCCCTGAAAGAAACAGTATCCTCTCCAGAGAGGGTTGTGAGCAGCCCAAGGCAATCCACATAACCGAAAAAGTACCCTAACCTCACTTTCGGATGTCCTTCTGGGCTTCCCATTGGCGGAACCCAGCAGAAAGGCAGAGGGCAACAAGGTGTCACTGTAGTCCACAGGTTACCTCCCAGGGCACACAGCAGGATGGTCAAGGGAATAAGTGAATCAGGTGGGGCAAACAGAGGATCACTGACACAAGATGTTGTTTTAATTAATAGAAATGGAGGCTGGGTGCGGTGGCTCACACCTGCGATCCCAGCGCTTTGGGAGGCCAAAGAAAGAGGATCGCTTGAACCCAGAAGTTCAAGACCAGCCTGAGGAACATTTGAAACTCCATCTCTTCAAAACAACACAAAAATTAGCTAGGCGCAGTGGTGCATGACTGTAGTCCCAGCTCCCTGAGAGGCTGAGGTGGAAGGATCACTGGAGTCTGGGAGGTAGAGTCTGCAATAAGCTATGATCACACCACTGCACTCCCACCTCGGCAACAGCAAGACCCTGTCTCAAAAAAAAAAAAAAAAAAAAAGAGAAAAGAAAAGAAATGGAATGTTGCTTCTAATCAGCAATGTTAATGTTAATGAAACTAAAAAGGCAAAAAAAAAAAAAAAGGATAAAATAGCTCTATGATCTTAGGTCCAATGTGGCTAGAACATATGACATAAGTAGAAAAATAACAAACAATAAGAGATTTTAAAAAGTGAGTTGGGGACTTAGCATGCAATGTCATGGATACTAAGCTAATGACTTGGTAGGAATTAGGAAGTTATTGCAGGCTTGAAGTAAATAAATAGAACCATACTTTAGAAATATGAATCTAAAGCCAGGCATGGTGGCTCATGCCTATAATCTTTGGGAAGCCAAGGTAGGAAGATCACTTGAGTTCAGCAGTTCACCACCAGCAACCAGCTTGGGCAACATGAGACCTCGTCTCTACTAAAAAGTAAAAATAAAAATAAGTACAATTTTTAAAAATAAATATTAATCTAATACCAGTATATAGTACGAACTGTACAGGATGAGGCCAGAGCAAAGATGTGGAGTTAGACCATTCCAACACTGTTTACTTAAATAAATACATGAAACAATTTGGATCAAATATCTACCCACACACTCATAATAAGGAGTCCTGGTAACTCAAATGTTTTCTTTGACCTCAGGGAAAATATCTCACTGAATCTTTAGATGGGTTTGAAGTAAAATGCCTTGGCAATCCTGCCTCCTCCTCATCAGCTTGGACCCTACAGCACTCACTGGCAATAAAACCTTAGATATGCAGATATCGAAGTGGGAGAAACAAGAGAGAAAGAGCAAGGAATAACATGACTTATGTGAAAAGAGATTGAGACGAAGGACATAGGAACCAACTGGAAAATCTCCCCATAGTCCAAACTGGGCACTTCGAGGAACAAAATAAGGTTGTGTTAGATTATAACCTGAAGTGTCAAATATCTAAGAGTTTATACTGACATAAATGATTGAATAAAATTAGAAATTTGAGAGAAAAGGTATGTGTTGAAAGCAGGGAAAACTGAGAATTTTGAGAGCGAAGGAGTGGCAGGAGAATTTCTGTATAGGGGAGGAGACACAACTCACATTCAGAACTCTAAATATTTATGTAGAAACTCCTTGCTCAAGGCTATCAGAATTATTCCCCACTCTGAAGTGGGGGTTTGCATAGTGACTTCCTTCCAAAAAGTACAATATGAAAAGTACGGCATGCAGGTAAACTCTCTATACTGTATGGAGTAACTCCATGGCGGAGAAACGTGACACAACAACCTGAGCCAGGTAATCAGTGTCACCATCATTGGTAATAAGTCAGACTGGTTGCACCCCTGATTTGTTATGATGAGAGTGGCACTTTACCTTTTTGGTCTTCTTCCCAAAACCTCATAACTCCAGTCTAACCACGAGAAAAACATCAGACAAATCTAAACTGAGGCACATTCTGCAAAATTCATGACTGCTCCTCCTGAAAACTGTCAAGGTCATCAAAAACAAGGAAAGGCTGAGAAACTGTCACCATTTAGAGGAGCCTAAGAGAATGTGTCAATTAACTGTAATGTGGCATGCTGGATGAGATGCTGGAACAGAAAAAAATAATTGGGTAAAAGCTGAGTGATCTGAATATAGTATGGGCTTTGATTAATAAGAATGCATCCGTATAGGTTCATTAGTTGTGACAAACCTACCATGGTAACGTAAGATGTTGACCAACAGGAAAATTGGGTGCTGGATACATGAGAGCTCTCTGTACTATCTTTTCAACTTTTCCATAAATCAAAAATTGTTCTGCAATTAAAAGTTTATTAAAAATTACAAGCATACATTGAGAAAATTCAAAACTATTCTTTGTATGTCCTTTATAGGTGAAAAGTTCTGATTGAAGCAACAAAAATCAGCAGACACCTCTTCAGCTTGAGTTCTTCACCATCTTTTGCAACTGAAATATGATGGATATATTTAAGCATAATTGATGGCAAGAAAAAAGTCAAATTTTTGATTTTTTTATAAATGAATCTTGTCCCTGAGCTTAGCTAAATGGTCTAGCTTAGTTTCTCCTTGCTTTCATATTATGAAATTTCCTGGCTTATAAATTTTTTAATTACACTTGAAATATAAGCCAAATAAAAGATTTTACTGACAAGATTCTTCATGCTTCTTTGTTCTCCTTAAAATGTCTTTTTCACTAGTTAATTCCAAGGGTCGGTCTCATAATTTTGTTCTCACATTTTGGCTTCTCTTTTCTTTTTTTTAAAATAGACTTGGGAGTCTTTCTGTGTTGCCCAGGCTGGTCTTGAACTCCAGGTCTCTAGCAGACCTCCCATCTCAGCCTCCCAAGGTGCTGGAATTACAGGTGTGAGTCACTGCACCGGGCCTCATACTTTGGTTTCTTAGCAGGAGATTTTGGTTCACAGTAACCCAGCTTGCTTTCGTCTAAGAACTTTAGATGAGAGGGGGAAAAAAAATAGGCTACAGATAACCATTCCAAGGCAGTTATGGTACATTCAGCCAACATTTTGCTTCTTCTCATGTTATCTGTTAGTATTATTAATGCTGACAAAGCAAGATTTTATGCCCCCCCTGCAAAAAAAAAAAAAAAACCATACCAAGCTTTACTTTTCAATTGCACACCTGAGGGTGTTATTTATTGTGTTGGTTGATTTTCTTTCCCTTTTGAATATAAGAAAACTTCAATGATTAAATTCAGTGACTCAATTTTGGTTAAATATTGATGGGTTAAAGTGTGAAATGATTTTTTTTCACAGTTCTTATTCTATTTGATCCATCAGCATCATTTTGCCTGATGAAAATGTACTTCCTAATTTCCCCTAGTTCTCCTCCTACACTTCTGATTCCATTGCATTTTGGGGGGCAGGGGAAGTAAGAGGCAAAACTATTTGTCTTACAGATTTATTGTGAAATCTCGGTGAGACAAAATGTCAAAGCACCTGGAACTTAGTAGGCACTCCACAAATTTAAGAACTCTGCCCCTCCCTCCACTTACCCTATAGATGTGGGTTTTGCAGGGTTCTAGCTTGGGTCCACTCCTTTCACATCTCACATTCTTCTTAGATAGCATCATCTACTCCCATGTTCCAATTGCCTCTTAGGACCCCAAAGTCTGTAGTTGTTTCTCTGTACTTCTAGTTTCTCCCTTACTATTGAGCTTCAGAATGTCTCTTTTGCTGCCTGTGAAAACAAGTCCATCTGGATGTCCCCTAGACCTTGTCTACCCAACAGGTCCAATGATGTCACTTAGTTCAAGGTGAGAAATCCAGGTACCAATGACCCCTGAATTGCCTCATCTCACCTTCCTCCCTTTCCATCACATTCAGTCAGGCACCCACTCTGTCACCGATACTCGAAAGCCCCAAGGGGTGATCTGTTTTGTTTGCTGCTGTATTCCCAGTGCCTAGAATAATGCCTGATACCTAGTAGGTCCCTACTCAATGGTTTATTGAATGAATTAATCTGTCCTCTCCTCTTTCCTGCCATAAATGTAGTCCAAACCTTATTATCTCTTTGGCAAATCATGTTCATACCCTCTAAATTAACCTTCCTGCCTCGAGAAACTCCAGTTCCCCTTGCCTTCTCTCCAGTCCATTCTATACACTGTGTACCATGAGTTAAATTGTGAATTTTATAAAAAGAAAAAGACCCCAATATTTTCCTTAGTTCTTCACAGTATAGCCTCATTTTACCTCTTTAACTGACTCTCCTGCCAATTCTTCACTCATAAAATTCCCAAACTTCCCTGCCTTCAACATACATACTTTTTTAATATTTCAAATTCCAATTGTTCATTGCTGGTATATAGGAAAGCAATTGACTTTTGTACATTAGCCTTGTATCCTACACTCTTGCCGTAATTGTTTATTAGTTTCAGGAGACTTTCTGCATGTGTTTCTATATGGACAATAATGTTGACTATGTTCACTAATGTGAACAAAGACAGTTTTATTCCTCCTTCCCAATCTGTATAAAGCTGTTATTTCCTTATCTGGTCTTATTAGCTAGGATACTGGTATGATGTTAAACAGGAACCTGAGAGTAAACATCTTTGCCTTGTTCCTGACCTGGGGGAAAGCAGCTCATCATTAAGCATGATGTAGATTTTTGTGGATGTTCTATATTGGATTGATGAAGTTCCTGGCTATTCCTAGTACACTGAGCATTTTTGTTTGTTCTGATTTTTAATTAGAGACAGGGTCTTGTTTTGTTGCTCAGGCTGGTCTCAAACTCCCGAGCTCAAGGGATCCTCCTGCCTTGTCCTGCAAATGTGCTGGATTACAGGCATACCTGACCTACTGAGCATTTTTATCTTAAATGAGGGTTGGATTTTGTCAGATGCTTTTTCTGTACCTATTAATATGATCATAGTTTTTCCTCTTTAGTATGTTGATGTGATCGGTTACATTAATTGATTTTCAAATGTTGAATCAGTCTTGCATACCTAGAATAAATCCCACTTGCTCATAGTATATCATTCTTTTTACACATTATTATATTTGATTTGCTAACATTTTGCTAAGGATTTTTCCATCTATGTTTGTGAGAGACTGTAGTTTTCCCTTTCTTGGAATGTCTTTATCTGATTTTGGTATTAGAGTAATGCTGATCTCCTAGAGTCAGTTAGGATGTGTTCCCTTAGCTTCTATATATATATATATATATTTTGGAAGCTATTGTAGAGAATCGATATGATTTCTTTCTTAAAAAAAATTTTTTTAAGGAAATATTTCTGGGTCAAAGGTTTATTTCTCAAATGTTTGGTAAATAATCAGTGAAGCCATCTAAGCCTGGTGCTTTCTATTGTAAGAGGTTATTAGTGTATTGATTTAGTTTAATAGGTATAGGCCTATTCAAATTTTCTATTTCTTCTTGTGTGAGTTAACACAATTATTTTATATTTATTTTATATTGCCCAGGTTAGTCCCTAACTCCTGGGTTCGAGTGATCCTCCCACCAGGTATGAGTCACACCACACTAGCCAATAATACCAAATCTTTGCAAGCATAAACACTCACGTATCCTTACAACAGTCTCATAGGTATAAGAGTTATAAGCAGATGAACTGTATTCATAAAGAAATAGGCCAAAAAGCTAAATGTATAAACATATATCATATGATTGGTAACTGTGTGCACTCAACTTTATAACTCTGGTCATCTGAAATACCAAGATGGGTAACATAAGTCTTTTGATGAAATCAGTAAGAATGCGCAGTAAGTTATCACACACACATTTACCCAAAGAGCCAAGATCTCAAAACGTCTTATCTTTCACAAATACAGATATACAAAAAGGAGATCTTTTACTGAGGAAGTTGCAGTGATTTTACATACATGCACAATGCTTACACGAATTCAGCTTTGTGATAATGTACTTTCATGGAGTCAAATCTGCAAAAATGCATAAAATGAATTAGAACTTTCTAAACATCTTTACACAATTTATACCTTCGTTATTAAAAATGGAGGACTTGAAATTATAGGGAGCTAAAAAAGAAAGAAAAAAATTAATAAAAAATATAAATAAATAAATAATGGTGGACTAAGGAGGCTGGGCACAGCAGCTCAAGCCTGTAATCCCATCACTTTGGGAGGCTGAAGTGGGCAGATCACTTGAGGTTAGGAGTTCGTGACTAGCCTAGCCAACATAGTGAAACCCTGATGCTATTAAAACTATAAAAATTAGCCAGACATGGTGGCAGGTGCCTGTAGTCCCAGCTACTCAGGAATCTGAGGCAGGAGAATCACTTGAACCTGGGAGGTGGAGGTTGCAGTGAGCCAAGATTATGCCACTGCACTCTAGCCTGAGTGACAGAGCAAGACTCCATCTCAAAAGCAAACAAAAAAGCCAGGCGTGGTGGCTCACACCTGTAATCCCAGCACTTTGGGAGGCCAAGGCAGACAGATCATGAGGTCAGGAGTTTGAGAACAGCCTGACCAACATAGTGAAACCCATCTCTACCAAAAATACAAAAATTAGCCGGGCGTGATGGCACATGCCTGTAGTCCCAGCTACTCGGGTGGCTGAGGCAGGAGAATAGCTTGAACCTGGGAGGCAGAGGTTGCAGTGAGCCGAGATCATGCCATGGCCCTCCAGCCTGGATGACAGAGCAAGACTCCATCTCAAAAAAAAAAAAAAAAAGGACTGAGGAGACAGAGCAAAATGGAGGAATAGAAGAAGGCTCCAGCTCTCATCCCCCTCCACAAAGACACCAATTAACACCTTCATAAGGTATTAAAAATCAGGTGAGTACTCATAGTACCTGGTCTTAACTTCATAATGCTGAAAGAGGCACTGAAGAAATAGAAAAAACAGTCCTGAATCACTGACGCCTCCTGTCCCACTGCAGCTGTGTCGTGGTACTGAAGGTACAGGGGAAGGAGAACCCAGCAGTTGTGATGCATTGAACTCAGTGCTGTCCTGTTAGGGCAGAAAGGAAAGCCAGACCAAACTCAGCTGATGCCTGCCCACAGAGGGGGCATTTAAACCAGCCCCAGCCAGAGGGGAATCACTGATCCCAATGGTGTGAAATTGAGTTCCTGCACACCTCACCACCGAGGGCTACAGTGCTCTGGGTCTCTAAGTAAACTTGAAAGGCAGCCCAGGCCATGAAGACTGCAGATCTCAGGCAAGTCCTAGTGCTGAACTAGACCCAGAGACAGTTTACTGGGAGGGCAGGTGACATACTGAGACACCAGCTAGGGCAGCCAAGGTGGTGCTGGCATCACCCCTCCCTTAAGTCCAGGCTGCACATTCCATGGCTCCAAAAGAGACCCTTTCCTTCTGCTTGAGGAGAGAAGGAAGAATAGGGAGGACTTTGTCTTGCATCTTGGATACCAGCTCAACCGCAGCAGGTTAGGGCACTGAGAAGAGTCGTGAGGCCCCCATTCCAGGCCCTACTTTCCAGATAACATTTCTAGACATACCCTGGGTCAGAAGGAAACCCATTACCTTGAAGGAAAAGACTCAGTTCTGGCAACATTCACCACCTGCTAACTGAAGGTTGGCAGGACCCTCAATAACCCGTAGTGACATTTAGGTACTATGTCAAGGATCTTAGTTGAGCCTCTGAGACTTGTTGGCTTCAGGTAAGACTCAGCACATTACTAGCCTTGGTGGCAACAAGGCAAAAC